ATTTTCGTGCGCTAGCAATACCAAGCGAAGGGCGCGCATATACACAATTTGATTTTGTTACTCATCAGGATTACTACCAGCCCACCCTCAAACTGAAATTATTTAAGGCAGGATTAGAGTAAATTGATCTATGAGACATTGGGCTTGGTCAAATACATCAGTCGAAAGGGTTTGACCTCCTGGGTCTAAAACTGTAATTAGATCTCAAATCAGTCAGGAGATGATGGATCTATGAGCTAAAAGTTTTTGTACTTGAAAGAAGAACAACAACAACTCAGTGCCATTCTATGAGCCGCTATGCTTAGCGTTGTAAGCCCATAAACTTACCTCTGACCCATCGGATGGACATGTGCAGGGTAAAAGCTGCATGCGTGTGCATGTAATAAGATGGAAGGATGTTCCTGAATGACCAGCTGTATTTTGTGATCAAAAGGAGGATTCTTTTGTTTATTATATATTGATTCTCCTACAGCAGAAAACATATATTTATTACATATGCTAACTTTGGATATGATATACTGAATTATTAACCCAAGGGTTGGTGGATTGGAAGCCTACAAAAGTACTTCATGAAGATGGGTTAAATAGAATTAAAAAATTGTTTTACAAAGACAAGTTTAACGCTGTTCATACTGTTCTGTCCGAGAACGCTATATATATGTTGTTTTTCTTATTTTTCAGCCATATTTCAGACACCTCTCGTGCCCGCCTTGCCCCCAAATCATCCAAGTCATCTTATGAATTCTCTAACAGCTTCCAACAGGGCGGGTCCCGGCCACTGTCCTAGCCTTGGAGCTCCCGTCAACCTATCCCAGTCTTCGAGAATGACAATTCGGCCCAGCCCCCCTATATCCATTCTCCCCAACACTAGCAGTCATTCATCCCCTTCACCCGGTAGAAAGGAGGTACCGTCTCCCAGTCAGACATATGTGACGTCTCAGCAACACCATCAGCACCACCAGCAACATCAACATTTTTCTCAGTTGCAACAACAACAACAACAACATCATCAAATTAGCCAGTCATATCAACAGGTAATCAAGACAGTTTTTATATGCTTGCCTTTGTTTAACTCACTACCCAATGATATTTATATTTACATTTCTCCTTCATTTGTAGCACTTGTTTTTTTTTGTTTGTTTCGGTTTCGTTTAACTGTTGTCTTGTGTTAGTTTTGATGGTTGTCTATTTTTATGAAATTACTTGTTTGTTTTAATTCGACTTCTCTGTTTGTTGTTAAATACAAATCTAAAAAATGAGCTATCTGTGCTTTGCCCACCGCGGGTATCGAAACCCGACTTCTAGGGTTAAAAACTCCCAGACTTACCTCTGAGCCACCTGGGAAGGGGGTGTTTTAATTGAAAATAAGACATGTTGGAATACATTAAATTTCATTCAGAGTAAAAACATTTTAACACTGGTAGTAAGTACGTCAGCTTCAGTGTTTCTTACCACTTCTCGTACGGAGTAGAAATACACTTGAAAGTTATTAGAATGCGAGACAAAAGCTTGTCACTACTACTCTCTAATGATATCGATGGCTGTTTAGAACAAAACACGAGCATAAAAACAATAAAGATCGCATAACAAACACAACCATTGTTAGTATTACTGTGTAGGTGTTGAAGATTTGTTCATAAATAGTACTATATAAAGAACACTCTTGTTGTTCCAAAGCGCGTGGGATCAACAGAATGCTTTCGGAAAGTGGACTTTCTTTCATCAGGGAGGTAACCCCCCACACCTGTAAATAGAGCACACGCCGCTATAATTATTATTATTTTATAATTAATGAAACAGTTTAATTGGTAAGTGATGACTTTTAACAGTCTAAATGAAACAGTTTGATTGGTAAGTGATGACTTTTACCAGTC